TATATATAAACATTGTCAATAGGTAAATGATATTATATGATGTTTGAAATCTAAAATGGCCACCATAATGACCTCGGGTGAGGTGGTTCCTACCAAAAATTGAATGCTATGACCATAAGGAGCATGTAAAAAAAATTTATTTTTTTTTGTCCGGAACGTCCACATGCATCTGCTAAGCTGCCGGACTAATTGCCTTAACAGTAGAAATGATATTTCTACTAGTAATAAACATTGCTGTAACAGTAGAAATAATATTTTGAAAATGATGTTTTACCATACCAGCCTGCTCAGTATGTTGAAAAAAATACTCTAAAAAAATTCACACGTGTTCGTCTCGAACCAGGCTATAGCTCAGCTACGGGTTGTACGCATGTATATTGGGCGGCCTGGGCCATGTCATAGTCAGGGGTGGCGCCAAGATTTGCCCGATGGGAGGGTCCCCGACGAGGTGTCAGATTTCCCAGACGAAAGCAAAGTGGGCGTGGTTGAGCTTCGATTAATAGGTTTCGAAAGTGGTCCTGGGGGGGGGGGCGAGGCTCCCGAAAACTTCAACAATTTAGGGGTTGCAAAGGCTTATTTAATCAATTTTAGAGTCTACTAATATGTAAAAAATACATATAATATTTTTTTTCTCCCCTACGAATTGTGTTTTTTCTCCCCAACGGGGGAGGGGTGGAGTGGCAGCTCTCCCCGACGGGGGACCCTGGACCCCCGCTTGTGCCACCCCTGGTCATAGTAGCGATTTTTTTTTAATGAAAAAAGTTAAAATCGATCAGTTTAATTGATTAATAAGTATATCTAGCAGTTATTATGTAGGTCTACCTGTATCTAATAAAAATTGCTGATTTTCCTTGGCGTGTGCCATACCACCCTCACTGGAGCCGTTGTAGGGCCTGAGTTGAACCCCTGTAGAAACGTACAGTAGCTTATTCTAATATTGACCCCCCCTCCCCCACCCGAAGTTGATTCCCCTGATTCCTAATGCTCTATGGCGTATTTATCTGCTCTATGGGAATACCATACATGGTCCTCCTGCCCGGTAATAAACCAAAAGCTAGTAACACTAAATAATATACCAGCAGTCTGATTTAAAAATCTAACGTATACACCTTGCTTAAATCGAAAGCCATTTAATTGGTATACTAAATAATGCATAACATATTGTACCTTGTGTATTCATAACACATATTTAATTTAGGCCACATTTTTTATGTGTATTTAACAATATCCGTCAACTCGTATAATATAGGCGCACATTGCTTGTTATTCATATTGCATTATACGGAAATTATGTTCGTGTATCTTGCACTTTATTTATTCATTGAGGAACAAGCATACTGTACCCTGTGTATATATAACACATGTTTTATTTAATTAGCATACTGTCATCATTATAGAGCAAAATGCTGTAGTCGGTGCTGAAGTGCGAACATTTTGAGAATGTGCCCGGAAATTGCACTCTCATACCTTTAAAAATCTGACCGGTAATTCATAATCAACAATAAACAAATATTCTTCCTAATAAAATTTGAGTGGGTTCGATGGCACCGTCTTCACCCCCTCCCCCACCACATCCGCATTTATATCAATTGTATCCGCTAAGTTCGCCCAAAATCAAAATTTTATTTATTTATTTGAATCGGACAGTAGGTCCCTCGAGACGAAGCACAGTATACTTATTTATACAGTAAAAAATGAAATCATTTCAAATTTGTTCCATAATTTTAATAAGCTGAATGTGCAAGTTGCGTCAAAGAAAGTAGAATTTGGCTTACAAATGATATTGAGTTGTATTGGTCCGGCAAAAACCGAAAGCGGACCAGCCGGACCGCTTCCGACGCCCTTGGGCACGCCGGCACATGATGACTATATATGGGCATATATATATATATATATATATATATATATATATATATATTTCATAGAAATATCTCAATTTTTTGTGAAACAGTGCTCAATCCCTATGAATATGATTCTAATGTTCTAATGTAATACATGAGTTACGTAATTTTTAAAATACCATACAATATTTGACCTTGAATGACCTATTTGTGGCAATCTGACCAGGTAAAAAATGGTAATGGTATGTTATATACATTGAATGACCTTAAATGACCTTTTATGATCTTAATGACCATCTGACCATGTCACAAGTGTTATAAATCCTTGACCATGAAATATAATTTTAGATATCATAATTCTCATTAAAGTGGTTTAAAAACCGATAAAGTGGTTTAAAAACCGATATATTGATAAATATAGGATTTGCGTGGCAGCAATTTTGAAATTCAAGATGGCCGCCAAAATGACCTCGAATGAAATATTGTAGTTCATAGTAAAGATTTTAAATTCTGAGAGTCAGGGTATGGTTCTAATGTAAAATATGACAATTATGTAATGTTTACGATACCATACAATATTTGACCTTAAATGACCTTAAATGACCTATTTGTGGCAATACCAGGTCAAAAATGGTATGATGGTTTTCCTTGACCATATAAAAATAGTTTCAGACATTAGAATTATAATTCCAAGTGGTTTAGAAGCGGAGATATAGATAAAAATAGGTTTTATAAGGCTACCATTTTGAAATCCATGATGGCTGCCATAATGACCTCGGATGAGGTGGTTCCTACCAAAAATTGAATGCTATGACCATAAGGAGCATGTAAAAAAAAAATTGGTGCTTTTGTCCGGAACGTCCACATCCATCTGCTAAGCTGCCGGACTACTAAGTCCATAAATATTTGGTTCAGCACATTTCATTTTTTTAATGTAGTATTGGTTGTTTTTTTTTAAAGTTTTCCAACAAGAGCAATACATACGGTACTATAGTTAACTTGTCTAAATGTATCCTAATAAATATTCAACTTTCTGTATATCAAACTTGTAAATGTATAGTCAATGTTATGTAGGCCTACAAATATATTAACTATTATCTTTCTTCTGACGTCAGGTGTATATCGATGGACCATATGCAACACAGTCTTGCCGTGTTTTTGAGACTGATCACGCGGTTCTCGTCGCTACCGGTATTGGTGTAACTCCATTTGCATCAATCTTGTACAGCATTTTACATCGCTATCGAAACTCAAAGCTGACTTGTCCTTCCTGCCATCACTCATGGATTGAGGATGGTGCAGTAAGGTCATTGAACCGCCTGAAGAAGGTAACTTAGCCCCACCTTCCTTCCATCATTACACATTCAGGGGCGCAGACAGAGGGGAGGGGCGATATTCTCCAAAGACAAATTTTAGAAAACCTCATTATTACTGTATGTTAAAGGAAAGAATTCCCGAGCCCTTGTTATTTTTTGTTCTGGTTTGTGTAGGCCTAGTTTGAAATAATAGGAAATTATTATGGAGTTGCGTTGAAGACCAGATTGATCCCAATCAATTTGGCTGTTGTAAAGGCCTATCTACTGTTGATGCCCTAGTAACTACTATGATCCAATGGTTTAATGAAACTGACAAAGGAAAGGAGGTCAGGGTTCTTCTATTAGACTATAAAAAGGCCTTTGACCTGATTCATAATAACCTCATAATACAGAAACTTAGAGATCTAAATGCGGATGAAATTCTTGTGAACTGGATTAGATCATTTTTAAGTAATCCTCTTCAACAAGTTAAAATGGGGAAGCACCTATCATCCTGGCTATCTCCCAACGGTAGCGTCCCAAAAGGGTCTTGGTTAGGACCTGTTCTGTCTCTGATATTCATAAACAGCCTTAAGATCAACTTGCCTCTAGTCAAATATATGGATGACACAACAGCTTCCGAAACAATATCCTCCCTTAATTGCAGCAATATGCAAATAGCGTGTAATGACATATATGAATGGTCTTGCATTAATAGCATGGTTATCAATGAAAAGAAAACAGTTGAAATGTTGATTAGTGGCAAACGGTTTAAAAGTAACCTTCCAGCTCTTATTATCAGCAATGTTGAAATTGAAAAGGTTGACCAAACCAAACTTCTGGGTTTTGGCAAAGTCATATTGACTATATGTAAGAAATGTAAGACAAGAATCTACTAAGTAGGGCAGGATTAGAATTAAATGCCCTAAGGTACTTCTTTTGTGCTATCATAAGATCGGTAATTGAGTATGCTTGCCCTCTTTGGTATACTGGTCTGACTCAAACCCAGAAAGATGCTCTCGAAAAAGTATAAAAACCAGCTCTGGGCTGCATATTACCTGGAGTCTCCTATGGAGACGCACAAATTACTCTGGACCTGCCCCCGCCTTCAGGACCGACTGCTGGAGATGAGTAGGAGGCCTATGTTACCAAACTTAAATCCAATAAGACCGACTGAACCACCTTCTCTCACCACCAATTGAACACAAATACAACCTAAGACACAATAAAACATTTTCCATACCACACATGCGTACCAATAGATCTAAACAATTCATTATAAATCATGGATTATCGTATAAATGGTGATTCAGTCGGTGGTCTTTGTACTCCATCACAGTGGTCACCATGGGAGGCTGGGTGGGCTCTAGAATCAGCCTCCCCATAGAAGGCCCCAGGTAGATTCCTGGTTGTTTTGCAGTTGCTCTGCTGTTGCTAGCCTTGGTAGATGATCTAATTTTTTTTTTTTGGTTAATTTTTAATCGTGTTTTATTTTTTTGATGGATTTTTAATGTGGGTCCTCTTTGTGTTTTTTTTTTTCTTCTTTTGCTTAACCGTGCAATAAATTTTATCTTTAAATTTTAAATTTGGTATTTGACTTTTGTAACTAATTCTTGATGTTTTTGCGATTCTCTTGGGGTTTTTTATTTTTTTTTTTATTTATTAATGACTTTTTAAATTTTTGATTGTAAATTCAATCTATATTTTATATGATTGCAATAAAGATATTTGTATGTATTGTATGTATTGTATATTATTTTTCCGTACTTCATAGTCTGTGCGCTAAGGCAATTTTTTTTTATAAACATGGATGATTGTGCATAAACAAGTATATTTACATAGAGAAAAGCAAAGGCCTATAGGAACGCAAGTTTTGAAAAGTCACGTCTACTAACTATCTATAAACGCTCTTGTTAATGGTGTACCTTTGTGTTGAATCAAACAGAAGAGGAAACAATAACACGGAAGTTTTGTTTTTCTATTGAAGTCAAAAGGCGTAAGTTAGTTTATAATAGGACAGCAACCTAGACGTGTGATTCCGAGTAATCCTCTTCAAATCCGAACTGTTCTCTGTGTATTCATCCGCCGTGATGGCATCGTATGATGTAAGTTGAAATTAACATGTTGTATAAACGTTAGCATGCCAGATGGCGGGTCCAGAATTTTTTTTCCAGGTGGGTGGGTGGGGTGAGTGATTCGAGGATATATGGTCCGGTGGGTTGGGGGTGTTCCGGACCTTCATCTATTTTGAGACCAGTCAGATGAAGCTCCACATTTTATTTTTATGTCATTTTAATTTCTCATCAAATTATATTCCCATTTAGTGATTTTTCGTTTGCTGCCGGAGGGATTGGGACAACTGGTACACCCCACGGGACCACCCACTTGCTACATTTAAGTATGTCGATGATCATGATGATACTTATCATCATCATCATCGTCATCATCATCATCATCATCATCATCATCATCATCATCATCATCATCATCATTATCATTAATACCGTTATTTATATTAATAATAATTATTATTATTATTATTATTATTTATAATATTATTATCAGTATTATTATTTTTATTATTATTATTATTATCATTATTATCATTGCTACCGTTTTTATAAAAATAATAATACTCATTATTATTATTATTGTTGTTATTTTATTATTATTATTGTTGTTATTTTTATTATTATAATTTTTATTATTAGGCTGTGATTTTTATCAACATTATCATCATTACTGTCATAATCGCCATCGTTATCGTTTTCATTATCATCATCATTCATCAATATTTTTGTTATTTTTGCTATTGTTTTAGTTATTTATTAAATCGATTAAGTATAGCACTGCTACATTGTGTTTTTGTTGTTAATGTTGTTATTGTCATTGGTATTGTTACAGAGTTATGCCAGCGAATATTATTCATCTTGGAACGACACGGAGTACGAAATAAATGCACCACCCAATTTTCCATCCTTGATCTTAGCTGTTTTCGGAGTGTTACTGAATTCTCTACATGTGTTTTTGGCGTGTAGAATATCAAGGAGGAGACAGACGAGTATCGCTCGACACAGCATCGCAGTAGGCATCACAAGCGTTGTGTTTTTGTTCCTTTGTATCATTGCTCGCCAAGTTTTTCCAAACTTCGAGATCGAAGACATTGGCGTGTGTAGATTCTACAACTTCGTCGAAATAATTTCCCAATGCATTGTCATCAGTATGCTGATGCTGATTAGCGTAGATAATTATTGCGTGGTGAAGAAAGTCACACGTCGCCACACGTTTATTGCACGCCACTTCTGTGGTCTTCTCCTTTGCGTTTTATTAGTGTCATCGTTAATCGCTTTACCAGTATTAGTCCGATCGAAACTTTACCAAATGAACGGCAATAATAAGTCAATATGTATGGGCTTAGATTTAACTTCCACATTTGCGAAACATTATGAAATAGTGCGAGCTTGCTTTACATACGCCATACCACTGGTCGTAATCGGAGTTGTCCATGGAAAGATGGCTTACATTTTGGTAAAAAGTGAACGAAATATAGCTAATTTGAGTATCCGTGGAAGGCGGGAACGATGGAACGGTCACATTGCCTCTCGTCGTCGTCTACGAATCGTGGTCCTACTGCTTGTTCTACTCTTCTCTATATGCAACTTCCCGACAACACTAGCGCTTATCCTTAACCAGTACAATCTACAACCATCGTCATTTTTTCAATTTATTTCCGGTTTTCATATCTATTTCATGCTAAGTTATGCGATCTTACATCCACTAATTGTGATTATTTCAACGCGATCTATTCGCGGCGAATTGTTCATAACTTTTTCTTCTAGTTCCAAACGAAACTCAGTGAAGTATCTATCTCCAACAAATAAAGAATGGGAAATGTCTTGAAATGAACTGATTTAAATTATCACTCGTGCAACATTGCTCATATCCATGGAGTGGTCAGTGAGTGTGCGCACGTATCTTGTGGTACAATGATTGGTAGTCAACCCAGAATTTAGGAGCATTTAAGAATATACTCCAGTTACCAGTTACTAGAGTGAATTTTTATTGTAAATCACTTAAAGTAAGACGAGTATTAACCTAAACGTATTCAAACTTTTGCAGACGTGGACCCGCCATAGCCAGGGTTTGTGCCGTGCTAAGTGTGGACCAGGCTATAAAATACTCTTCATCATGGCGCTGAGCCGGGCAAATAATTTAATTGGAGACTTTGTCACAAATCCTAAAGTCGAACTGATATAAAGTCGATATAACAGTATTACGTATAATTCTAATTTTCAACTTGTATATGAATATTTTTATATGAGAATATCACAATCTGCACAATTTGACGTCAAATTACTTCACATATAATATAAAATTATATATGGATTATATATGTATATATTTGATTTGAATATTATATGCATATAAGATGTGTATTAGACTATAAAAA